AGCCGTGGGTCGAGAAGTATCGGCCCAACACTCTGGAGGAAGTGGTCCATCAAAGCCATATCATAGCAATGCTGTCCAAGTATTTGACAAACGATTGTTTCAATGAATTGCCGAATCTTCTGCTGTTTGGTCCGCCGGGAACTGGAAAGACATCGACGATCATAGCTCTGGCCAAACAGCTCTTCCAAACACAATACAAGAATCGGGTCTTAGAGTTGAACGCTTCCGATGAGCGCGGAATCGCTGTCATTCGGTAACTACTTGTCCGACCACTTCTGGTCACTCAACCCATTGATTGTTATTTTATTTATTTACGGTTTTGAATGATTTATAGGGAAAAAGTCAAGTCCTTTGCGCAACAGTCGGTGTCTTCGGCCTCGAAGTCGATTCCGGCCATAAAACTGATAATTCTGGACGAATGCGATTCAATGACACGCGACGCCCAGTCGGCCCTCAGGAGGACTATGGAAACGGAGGCGAAGACCACTCGGTTTTGTTTGATTTGCAATTATGTTTCGCGAATCATTGAGCCGTTGGTCTCCCGATGCTCTGTATTTCGGTTCAAACTCTTAGACTCTGACCTTTCGGTGCGAAAACTGAGACAAATTTCGGACTTAGAAACGGTCCGTATTAGCGATGAAGTGCTCTCTGAGTTGGTCTCACTGTCGGAGGGAGACCTGAGGCGAGCCATCACTTTATTACAGTCGGCGTCTCTTATTAAAGAAGCCGACGAAGAGGTGACCATCGATGACATACACGACGTGTCCGGTTATATACCCAACAGTTATATCGAAGACTTCGTAAGGATTTGTCGGTCGAAATCATACGACAATTTGAAAGATTTTGTGACAGAACTCATTGGTTGCGGTTATTCTGGCGCTCAGTTTCTGTTGCAAACACATCAATGGCTCGTAGATTGCGATCAGTTATTACTTTCAGACATTCAAAAGTCTATTATAAGCGAAAGAATTGCTTTCAATGATAAGCGACTTCTCGATGGCGCCGACGAATACCTTCAGATCCTAGATATCGGCGCTCTTATCATAAGCACTATTGACAGCCAATAATAGTTTATGTATTTTGATTGTGTGATCGTTATATGAGTTAACCATTAATTGATTTCTAATTCTTATGTGAACTCATTTCTAGTAAATTCTCATTAAATGTATATTTTTATAACGAATAAAAGTAAAAATAATTACAAAAATAAAATTAAGAGTAAAAGATGAAGTTTCCATAGAAACGATGGTATTGTTAACATAACAAACCGAACATTAATTGAACAGTGGTCAGTGTGATCAGTGAAAATGACATTTTTATAACTAAAAGCGGATTTAAGACATGGATATCGAGGACTTAAATTGCATCCAAAGGTCAGTTTAGATAACGGTATTAAATATGTGTGATTTGAATAAATTGATTGTAATTTATGACAAAGACGTCTGCGGACGGACTCAATCGATGCTCACCCGACGGAAAAGGCGATTGTAGTGAACTACGAGTTGGAGGCCTCACTCGTCGGCGATTTGGGGGACACGATGTTAGAGGAGAGC